TAATCCAGCCCATTTAGTTGTTTATGAAGTTGTATTGTTTATCAATTATGAGTGAAAGAGTTTCCTCAGACTCAGTGATGAAAAAGTATTTTAAAAGATTAATAGTTTCTTTTATATGTTTCTTGATTTTTTTGTGAAGTCTTCGTACATTAATTTATATTCATTTGTTTCATTTCTCTATTACAAAGTACCAACTTTCCTCATTTTAACAAATAATGTTTCAGAAAAAATTTCAACTCCTGTGAGCCTCCACCCATTCAACTCCGGGACCTCCCTAGTTTGAAGGGCTGGTTCCGCCCCTGTCTATAATCAAAGAGTATTGTGTACAACCATGCATTTTAGGTCTATCGATACTAATATTATTAGAAATTGTTTGTTTGCGGTATTTTGAATGTGCGTACTACCTCTTCATACTAGCGATTACGAAGTATGACCTCATGACGGTATTGCTTAAGGGTGTTGAAGTTTTGAGTTCGAGTTTTTTTTTTTTGAGTTGTCCTGCGAGTTTTAACCTTCAGAGTGAGTAGTTTGGTCGTGTTTGGAATAATCTCCAGGACTATGTGGATATCGTGCTTGTTTTCGTGATCTCATTTTCTGAAATGAATCTTTTGTTCACTGCAATGAATGTATATGCATTTGTTAGGTGATATTATTTCGTACTGTTTTAATAAAATGTTCAAATTAAATACAAACAAGAAAGATCAATATACTAAAATTAAAATTGATTCTCTTATCCTAATCATGCAAATGCCACTCGACTTTTTTCATCGAATATATGCTATTTGTAAATGTGTTAAAATGTATTTTGAAATTGTACAATAATATTTTTCAATTTGAACAAAATAAAAATAAAAATATTATTCCTTGATAATTTAATTATAGCATTGTTTTCGACAGATTTATAGGATATGAAATAAATGTTATTTAAAGAAGGCACGAGATATATAATAATTTAATGTTTAGATTTTAGTCAAATTTAGCCCTTGTTTGGTCTTCTGAGAGAGGTTCTGCTCAGATTCTTCTGATCAGGAAGGGATTAAAATTAGATGTATAGTAGATTTTGATAAAAGTTTTTAAAATGTGTAGTTAAAAAATTCTGAAACTCGTAAAATATATGATTAATATTGATTGTTTGACTTTGAGTTAAATTAAAATCTGATTTAAATCTAATAGTAAGTGGAGAATTAATATTAATCATATATTTTACGAGTTGCAGCCTTCTTGATTGTTTGACTTTGAATTAAATTAAAATCTGATTTCACAAAGTGGAGAATTAAAAAAAGTTGTCAAACAATCAATGTTCACTCAAGATCTAATGAATCTGTCGAAAAAAGTTAAATTATAAGTGAATGCCAGCCCCTTTTCTTTCGTAAAAATTTCCTTTATATAAGTGAAACAAGTTTGTTTATCAAATGACAGATATGTTGGAGAAAAATATGGTTTTTCCCAGATGAAATGAAAATTGAATTCATCTAACAAGAGAGATTTTTAATTCCTTAGTTGGAAAGGTGGAAGAAAGAGGGATTAAATAAAACGGAATTGACTAGATGGTAGTCATAAAAACGCTTCTTTCTTCTATATTTTAGACCTCAGCTCCATGGAATAATGTTACTGAAACATGAAAGAACGGAAATCCTAGGACCAAGGTTTTCATTTAAACACAAAAGGAATTGGCATTCCCTTCACGTCTTTCTTAATTACACTCGCAAACCTTCACTCAAGATCTGGTGCTCAATTTTTCTATTAACAAGAAAAATCTCCTCTTAGAGAGACTATATCAGTGTTTTTTTCAACTATTTCAAGATTTGATTCTTAATTTTTGTACTGAATTTTCATTTCTCTTTCCAAACGTTTGATCGTTCATACCAAGTCTTTTTCTTCTCTTTACATGCTACGAAAAAAGTTCAATTTCAAAACTCGGGGTTTCTAGGACCTAATAGATAGCGAGAGTAAATATAAAGGTACTGCGGACATGAATGCATAATAAGAATAAAATGATATATTCAAGTTTCTACAATGTATAGATTGCTTTAGCATGTCTATAGCAAGTAAATCACTGGTAATGGTAAGAATACAATTAGGCAACTAAGTCATTCAAGATGTGCGATTAACATATTAACCAAACCAGCTTGGTCTGTAATCCGAGGCCAAAAACTTCTTAATTCTCCGAAAACATTGCTGCTCCAATCAAAATTGTTGATATGGCCTGCACAAAACAATATGTTTCAAGATTTTGCCAGCAAATGATAGAGAGCTACCTTCAAAATAAGTAATTTATCCAAGTATACTCATACAATCATAATAACCCTTTCAGGAAGAGTCTTAACATATTGAGTAGGCAATGCATTGTTTGGAAGAACTTATGAAGTTACCTTAATATCAAACGTTCTAATGCTCAAAGACCGAATGCAATGAACTCAAACGGTCAGTTCAGCACATTTGAGTAAAAATCTGCCTCATATGGTGCTTTGAAAAGCTGGATTTCCTGAAAGTTGCCATTTTGGGGCAAGGCTTGAACACGGGGATTAGTCGGCAGCTGTGCAGTCTGCCATAATTCTGCAGAAGTGAGGGGCAAGCCTTCTGGGATTGCATGCATTACAGGCTGAGGCATGCTGGTGCCACTTTCGTTGATAGGGTTGTTTAGTATAATGGATTCAGGCTCACATGGACCCCAGGAATTTCTTGACAGAAGAGAGAGAGCACAACGGTACTCCGGTGCTGCTTCTAAATGGGACGAGAAGATGGATCCCTTGAAACCTGGATTAGAAAACGTTATAATTATTCCCCTAAATTGATGCAAATCAAGTTCCACATATTAACAAAAAGTTATATGCACAATATTACCACAGAAGCTTGTCTACATTTTGCAGTATGGGACATGACTAGATAGGTAAAGAACAAGATTTGTACTTCATAATGTCTAATTCCTTACTATGTTATGATTTAAAATTACCATAGCTGGTAATACCTTGGGCTTCTAAAATAGCTTCTCTAAGGGTAAGTCGATACTTCAATACATTTTATCTGGGTTCTACAATTCAAAATTCTAGAACGCTGGTAAAAGTCTTGGCTCTGCTATAACTTCAATATGGCTGAATTATAAAACACTCAATTACCAGATTTCCTGCTGGTTGCCATCGTTTAGAAATTCTATAAGCAATGAACATTAATTACTTTAGAAAATATGATCTAGCATTTGATGAAATAATCATGCATTCATGCCATGTCTTTTATTGAAAGATGTGTGTTTTCCACACCTAATAGAAAATCAAGATGCAAAGGTAGTTGATTAAAAAGACAAATCTGATGGGTGCGGTGTCACAGGTTGAAGATAATCTAAGAGAGAGAGGTGAAGAAGAGCATGTTTGGATGCAGTTAAAAGGTGATTTTATTGGGTTAAAATACTTCAGATCGTTCTCCAAACCTACTTCTCAATAAACTTGACACATCTCGCTTTACACTCAAGCTGGTTAATTAATATCCCTTTCCATGAAATCCAATTTTCAGACTAACACGTTGGTCCTGCAGCTTTGTTAATTTTGTGTTCATTTGAATGGTAAGCATACAAGAGGTTTCCTCCCTCTGTTCTGACATTATGTTCTTCCCTCTGATCGGTGAAAATATATTATTTCATGGTGTGAGGAAGTATTTAAATTGGACCGCCCTCTATTAAGAAAGACCTAGACAGAACCCTCAACTCCATGGCCAAGATACCAAACAAAATAGTTCGGTTCAGCACAAACCAGACAATCTTTATAGGTGATTCACCAAAAGATGAAGTGTCACCTGTCATTTGGATTTCTTTCACCTATGTACAGTCAACGAGTATAACAAGCACTATTAATCTCTTAAATCATTCAACAAATTATGAACTTGAACTTCTAAATCGCCTTTAATACATCACATTTCCCTGGACTTTGGGGCTCTGTTCTCATTCTCCAACAAACAAAAATTCACAAATGCATTCTTAAGCTTAGCCAAACATGCTATTAGCATGAGCTTTCGGCCTACCCTACAGTTAATAATCTTAATCTATGGGAGTTTCTCTTTTTGCTTTACTTAGCATGCATCGTTCCTAGTACTAGATATCAGTGGTTGGTATCATTCCTTACACTGAAAAATTTACTACATCCATCAAGTGTCACCTCAAGTTCTGGCCTAAATGTTCAATCTGCATGATAGACTTGGAAATTACTTCACAAAATTTCTTATTGGGGAAGAAAAACCTATGATAGCAATTTGCATTGTTATTGATAAATCAAATGTTTAAACAGACATCAATAAAGACGAACTTCTTAGATATCCATAATTAGAGCAATAAATCATCCTCTTAGACTATGGGTAATTGGCACAATACCCCCTCAAATCAAGCAAACGTTGTGCCAAACAACCTGCCATCCATTTTCTCCATTAAATCCTTGTAAAATAACGAATTTACCCTCTCTTTTAATAAACAAAATGAAAATAAAAAATTAATTGCACTCAAAGTCCCAAAATTTTCAAAACATGCAAACGAGTCCCAATGAAAACAATTTAAAAAATAAAATAAAAAATTCCATTCTTCCCAAACTTACCCTACCTACCCCCAACCTAACCCCCCACCACCAACAAAGCTTTATCTTCCAATTAGATTCTCCAAAAATTATTTACATTTCCGGATATTCAAAGTTGCAAAATTTTTTGAAATTGTCCACAAAGGATTAATCACAAAAGCTCCAATCCCGAGAACCTTAAAATTAAACTTTCAAAAAAGATTAAAGATTTCAACTGAATTGTTCTGGTGCGCGATGGGCCTCCACGTTCCCCATTTCTTTTGTCCACCATTAATTTGCTACTACTTCTCTTCAATAATCCTCCTTTGATGTCAGAGTGGTCTCACTACTAGTGTTGTTAGTACTTTTGCTACCAAAAGATGATGAAATGCTTGACATAGGAGTGGCAAAGAAAGTTGGCTTCTCTTTACTGACCATGATCATAAGATACTTCTCTTCAAGTACCGACGATGATTTAATGGAGGCAACCTTAGAGCCTTATATGCAGCATTACCTTCACTAGCCTCAAGGTCCCTATCCCCGTCACCACCATAGCTAAAGAACTTCTGGTATGAGCACGCCAAGATCAAGAGAGCAAAAGCAATGAGTCCCAACATGGCAGCCAATCCACCAAAGAGGTAAGGCACGGCAATTGCCCTGGAGAGCTCTGAACAAATGGTCGTAAAGGTGGAGTTGTTGAGGCCCCTACAATAGTCATTTTTGGCCGTATATATGGATTTATATATTGGTTATTGGACAAATCTTTGTTAATATGGAGACTTGTGAATTTGGGTGTTAATTGGTGGAAAAGGGATAAGGAAAGACCAATCGTGGGGAGACGGTGGTGGTAGGTTGGATAGGGGATATGATGGGGTTGGTTGGAGAAGAAAGACAGGTCAAAAGTCCAAATGACCACTAAACTTTGCATAATTTCTTCTATTAATTATTAAACTTTAAAAGTTTTTCGAATGGTCACTGATGATGTCATTCCACTGAACTTTAGAAGTTTTTTGAATGGTCACCAAACTTATCAAATCGTCAACTCATTCATCACTCAAATAACTCTCCATTGAAAAATTTGACAGACTCACTGACGTGACAAATGAAACGCTGACATGACACATTATTGTTGTTAACTGACAACAAATTACCCAAAAACGTGCTTCATATATTAAAAGAGCTTATAAAAAATGCAATTGAACTTTAACATTTGCATGTTTTCTTTTACTGATTTGTCGTCAACTAACGATAATAATGTGCCACGTAACTTTTCCATTTGTCACATCAGCAAGCCCATCGAATTTTTTAAGGGTTGGTTATTGAGCAATGTATGGAATAAGATTTGATAAATTCTCTTTCTCAAAAAATGAAAATTTCTCTCTAAGAACCCATAGATTCCCTGCATTTTTTCTTTCCCTTCTAAGATGAGTCAAAAAACATGACCAAATATTGACAAAGTAGAGAATGGTACTGAAAAATAGTGGACGAAATGAGGTCAAAAAACATTGAGGGTAAACAAATTAACAAGATTCTGAAAATAATGATTTTATTTTTCAACAAATCATATGGACTTCAGAGATTTTTTCACATTGAAAGTACTTACTGCTTAGAAACTCTACGGTTAATATTTTATCCAATTACTGATTATGGGAGCTAACTGCAAAAGCACAAGATATCTAACTGAAATAAAAATTAACGTGATATTTTTATATAATTACTTTGCCTAATGTAGCCCCCCCACCGCTCCTCCTCGCTTATTATTGAGGATTTCCACTCGATGTTAGATTTGGAGAATCCGTTCATTATGTATAAGAAAATGACCGTTCAACTCTCAGAAAAGATAACTTTGGTTATTCCTCAAAACTAAATGCCCAAGTGATTTTAGTAGGTATTTTGCCAAGTTGAGCCAATTTAGATCAACTGAATGGAACAAACAGTAGACGATAATCTGTTAGTAGTGTCTGAAAACACTGAATGTTGTAGGTCAATCTCCAGAAGTAGTAAAACAAACCTGGATTTAAAACCTCGGATGTGGAGCCATTGGATACGTTATCATGCATACTAATGGTATGTGGCGGCTGAATTCCTGGCACGTGCACTTGCCCATCAAGGCCTCCAGCTTTGTCAGGCTTTGAAGGAAACACTTCTGTTAGTGTAAATTTTGAGCTGCAGGTGCTACCACAGGCTGAATTTGTAGCCGTTCTAGAGTGAATAAGTGGAGCATTGTTCAAGAAAAAATCCATCTGTGGCCTGCCATCTATTCGTGTAAAAGCATATCAGACAAACATAATGAAAGGGTATTGCATAGAACTAAATTACTTCAAGGATTGAACAGAAATTTGGAGTTGGAACTTGTTGGAACCTCGAACAAGAATGTTTGGCGAAGCTTAAAAAAAAACTTAGTCCCAGTTTGAGCCACATTCTCATTATTCTACTCATTTTCAACCACACATTCTTCAATAAAATAATATTTTTCATCATATCAATAACTTGTCTTTCTTTTTCAACCACATATTCATCATCACATCAACAAAAAAAAAGCATTCTTTCCATTTTAATGTGCATCAAACGCACTCTTAATTTTTTTTTGGACATGAGTACAGAATTATGTCAAAAAAGTAAGATTTTGTACTGAAAATTCAAAAAATTTTAACTTGTTTAAAAGAGAGAAACGCGTTTGGCAAAAGAGAGAGTAAAAGTTTTAAGATAGTCCAAACATGGTATGTTACACTTTTACAGTGGCAAAGTTACATGTTTAAAAACCCATTCCTATGTAGTTACGTGTTATGACCTTACTTATCAATTAATATTCCAAAAGACTAATGATTTACATATTCCAACTGTAACGGCATCCAGCAAAGTATATGCTGACAATAAAAAAGTCAAAATAATGCCGATCCTACCATAGAACGGCGAGGTGAGCCTTCCTGAATTAAACTGGATAGATTCCTGTTGTGGTTTACGGCGCCGTGCATTGTGATCAGAAAGTCTCCTACGACAGCTTCGCTTCTTTTCATCAAATTCTGACACACCATGGAACCTTCATGCATAACAAAATGAAAACCAAAAATTCTCAGATTCCGTCAATAAGCAAAAATAAATCACTATAAATTTAAGTAAATAAGTAGACCTGGGAATCATTAATGACTTGAAAAAATTGTGCAAGACATTAAAAAAGCAAATTATCAGAGAGCTACCCTTTTATGTACTTCTGATTTGGTTTCCATACCTGCTACACTGTTGACAAAACCGACGCTCATGACCTCCTACAATAACCTTTGGGCATTTTGAATGGATGTTGCAAACTCTATGCTTCCGATGATAATCTTTTGCTGCGGAAAGATCCATGTTACAGCCTTCGACTTGACAGCGTGGAATAGGCCCATTTGGAGCAGATGATTTTGATTTCTTTGTTATAGAGGTGGATGAAGTAGGAACCACAGTAAAGGATGCACTCTTGACACTGCCTCCAGCACTGCTGTTCTCAAAGTACATTCGCTTCCCGAGTTTCAGACCAATCAGCGGTTCTGCAGAGCCCACGGAAGTTTCCAATAATGAAGTTCCAGACACCTCATTTCTGGTGCTTTCAATGTTCTTGCCAAAATCTCCAGCAGAGCTCTCGAATGCCTCAAACTTAAAATTGGGAATTTTCATCCCGTCCTTAGGTAAAGAATCTGTAGAAGCTGATATTGAGCACTTAGCTGAAGAACGATGCCCAACTTCCGAACCAGAACCACCACTATTCCCGCCGCCCCCAGACAAATTGAACGAAATTTCCCCATCATCCATGACCATCCAGTCTGCTGATTGCACCTTCTTGGGGCTATCACTAGCTTTTGAACCGAACATAGCGAAGTTCTCCCAGTCCCACTTCGTATACTCCATCTCAGAGAAATAACTCATTAAACAAACTTACTCAAATTTCCCTCTACACGAAAAGCACAAGCAACTGGGCATCAGATCTGCAATCATCAGTATCATGACCACTTAAAATAAGCTCAAACAGACCGAAATCGACTGTGCCATTTCACATGAAGGGCACATAATTATGGCAAAACACGGATATAAGGATTAGTTAACACAATATAAGACTTTTGAAAAAATAATGATGCAGAAATTTTACCGTACAGATACGAGATTCATCAGATGGAGTGGTTGTCGGAAAATTGATGTTGTTTCAAAAAGGTCAAAAAAAATTACTTCTTCCAAAGAACAGGATCGAATCAACTATCTCCAAGTCACCCAAGTGTATTGATTCAGACCCAAATTCCACAGTTCAAAGAACCTAAAACAAATCAAGATTCCAAAATTCGAAGTCCCGAACGCAACTGCAGACCAAAAGTCAATAAATATTAGAAAACAGAGTGAAAAGGCACATTCTTGAATCAACCAGTCAACAAGCATAAACTACAGTCTATTTATTTTTCTGCTCAGAAATCCCAGTCATGGCTTCAATAACGTATAAGCTTAACTGATTATGAAGTTTACGGGTATCAATTATAAAATCAATCATTCAAAGCTTCGCGTTTCTGGCTAAGAAGGAAAGAAAGGTGGTAAAATAGTGTAGCAGAAACTGAGATGAAATTATACTTTCCACCCCCTGTCCTCTTTACTGCACAAAATCCCAAAACGAAATAATGCCCTTAAGATTTACTATTAACCATTCTCGCTTTCCACCAGATATATCATTTAATTCCTGTAAAGCAGAAAGCAGCCAATACTCGACAGTCTCCTTTTTTAACTCTTTTCTCGTTCTTATAATAACTATTATTCCAAATAAGAAAAAGAGATGCTGTTTACCTGTTCATTTCCAGTAAAAGACACAGCACTGATTAAGACCCATTAAACAAAAATAATTGAAATGAAAACTATTCACAAATATTCAGCAATACCTTGAAAATCATCCTAAACCACATATGAATAAAACAAGGTCGTAGTCAGAAACCCCCATATCGCTTTCAATGACTTTTTTACCACCTAAGATGAGCAAAAGAAAAGAAAAAATCAATCATTAAATTTCTCCCCCCCCAACTTCCAAGTACAATGAATCAATGCTTCACTAAAAACATATGACGACATTAGAGACTACAAATGAATCAAACTTCATGTTTTGTGTAGATTCTTACAATGTAATTTTGAAAATGGTAGAAATTTATCTTCGATTTTTATTTGCTTCCGTAAACTGAGAAAATGAAAATCAAAACAGCAAAAACTAAGAAGTGCTTTTTATGGTTGTTGATGGGTTAGTTATGGTCCCCTCCATCTAGGGTTTCATTGGAATCCACACAAGAGGAAAACTTTTGCACGAGTAGAGAAAATTGTTTTCCCGAGGAGAAACGCGAGAAAACGGCGTCGTCCTCTCCACGTTCATCTTCTTGACTTCTTCGTAATCGCCGCTGTAAGATAAACTAAACTTCTCCACAATGACGTGTATACACATCAGAAAGCCATTGCCAAAAAAGCTTCTTTTCATTTCAAAAGCTGCAACTTTCACGAAATTCTCCAATTTTATGAATTTTTCATACAAATTTGGAAAGCTTCAGCACATAATGCTGTAAAAAATCTCAACTGTTTCTCCAAAAATAGGAAATTATTTCAACTTCTTTTAACTGATCTTCATTCATAATTTTCCTCACACCAAATCAATCATTAAATAGCCATAATTAATCAGCTTGAGATGATTAAAAATTGAAAGGAAATGGAAAAGAGCTTTACCCCCCCATTAAGAAAAAGAGAGTGATGAGATATGTGAACAATGGAAAAGGGAAGTAACACCAAGGATTGTGTTTTACCAAATGGAGGATGTAAGTGTGAGGGGGCAATAATGAGGGAAATTGTACTATCAATCCATAATATATTGTTTTAGTAACAAATAGTCCTCGTCTTTTAAGATAAAGGCAAATTGAGTGTTGTAAAGTTAGTCTTCAATAATAAAAATTGTTCAAATTTTTGATAAGTCATCACGTAGTCTCAATGTAAACATTCTTCATCTTGTGTATACGCCAGAGCGACAATGTTCAAATTAAACCCTTGAATATGTTTGAAGTTCTTCAGTTCGAGAGATAGGTTTTACTAATATTCGTCCCAAAATCATTTTAATGTTATCTATTTCGAAAAAGGTATATAGGGAATCCTTGGGGTGAATCTTCATTGAGTATTCTATCCAAGTTAGGTAGGCAAGAAGTCGATGCTAGTTATTTAGTCACTAGGAAGCCTAATCTATAAGTTGAGAATGACTGCCCCCAAGACACATCTCCAAGTGATAAAAGGGGAAGGTGACAAAACTCCAGCTTTGTTTGAAGCTGCCGCGTCAACTGTTCGAATCCTGAAATATGGTAGGCTGCCACGTCAAGGATTCGAATTCTAACATATGGATTTGGCCATTGGGTAAGTACAAGTGTACAAGCAATCTTCCACCCTATACCATTAGAGGCATAACTTCCGATTTACCTCCTTCACCAAAGTTCAGACAAGGCAGGTGGGGGCCGCTAAGGATGTTTATAAGTTGAGAATGACCAAAACATTTTGCAAGATCAAAATGGAAGTCAACTAAAAAAAATGATTTTCTGGACACCCACCTGAGTAGGAAAGAAAAATGCAACTTCACATAATGGTTTGACGAAGATTTGAACAAGTTCTATTATACAATATCGATAGCGTGAACAAGAAGCTGGCCGACTTGTTTTTCTTTTTCTTTTTAAAGTTGAGGATTGATATATGCAATTTCCTCCAATAATAAGTGTGAGCTGTGTTTTATACTTTTATTTAAGAGAGTGGGAAGGGGTGTGGGACCCAGAGTTGGTATGGAAAAGTTGTGATGGAATGGTCAGGTTTAAAAGATTAAAAAGATAGGGAACACGTGTACGTGGATGATGTACCCAATTTAAATGCAGCCTTTTTTTATCTGGCATTTGGACGTTATGAGTTATGGCAGAGGCTCCTCTGGCATCTCGCGCAGGGGAGGAAGTGGAATGGATGAGTCCACTCAGTCTAGTTTGCGATTTTTTGTTTTAGGTATTGTACTTTCTTTTATGAATTGTTTTTACAATTATACTATTTGTACAATCATTATTGTCAAAAATAATGTTACTTTCAGTCGTTCACTGCAACAATCGTCCTATATGACACACACATGACATATAGTTATTTGATACATTAATGTGGTGATTTTTTACTACATTTAATGTATCAAATACACACTTGACATGTGTGTGACATATAAGACGACTACTACAGTAAGCGACTGCAAGTAGCATTATTTTTAACAATAATGGTTGACAATGTAGGTATTATCAAAATCCGGACCATTAATTTAATAAACAATTTTAGAGATGGATGAATGTGATGTAGACAAGTGTGAATTATCAACCAATATTGTCAAACTAAATTGTACATGTAGAATGATTCTTGTTTTTATTTTTTCCCTGCTTTTTTCTAGGAGAGATCATTTTTAGGGCAAAAATTTTAAAATTGTGAGGCCACCTTGAGTAGGTTTGACACTCAAAAAAACGAAAGTTTGGCGTCTGTTTGAACTTTTGAAAAATGTGTGATTAGAAAGTAAAAATAAATAAATAAATAAATTTACGTGTAAAATATTTTATTATAAAAACATGTGATTGAAAATAAATTTTAAAATAATGAAAATAAATCAGTGGCTTAGGATGGCCAACATGGACAGTCTAAATATAACATTTCTACGTGGCCCATTTTGTTGACTTGCATCTCACACTTTGGCTCTGTTTGGTACACATTATTTTTTTCATTCTCATTCTTTTACTCATTTTCAATCACACATTTTTTAATAAAATAATATTTTCATCACATCAATAACTTTTCCTTCATTTTTAACCACACATTCTCCATCAATCTACTATTCAATAATACATTCTTTCAAAATAATATGTCCCAAACACACTCTAATATTCAAAAGATAAGTTCATTCTTCTACTCATTGTCAACCACACATTCTTCAATAAAATAATATTTTCCATCACATCAATAACTTTTCCTTCATTTTTAACCACACATTCTCCATCAATCTACTATTCAATAATACATTCTTTCAAAATAATATGTCCCAAACACACTCTTACTGAGAAATTAGAGCTCCAACGGTACAATTTATTATTTTCATTCTTGGAATAATGTTGTCCAAACGGGGGCATGATACGATCTACTAATATGTATTTTTTTCGTAATTGAGATTAAAGTTTCATTGGGTGGTTACACAGATCTACGAGGCGTTGCTCGTCGTATGTGATTATTGTAAAGTATCAAATATCAACCGTCATATCCTTAAACAATTTAAGAATATTGGTATATTTACTGTAAAATCTAATATAATTACGTCGACTATTTAAATCTTTTATTTTTAACATTTATTGAAGAAATTAATTTTTCCGTATACGAGCAAGTTTTTAAAATTTATGCAATACCTTCACATTCACATAATTTGTCGCACTTAATTCATCTTATTGGTCCCTTCTTGCCTTTAAATACTTTTCGGGACCTCGAATTTCGAGCTCAAGTTGTTTTCCCCTTTTGACTTTAATTTTCCGTGGTCTTTTATTATTCCTTGTTTGGTAAAAATTAAAATCAGATTTTTAGTAGATTTTGATCAAAATTGATGAAACGTATGGTTGAAATTTTGAAGCTCCTATAAAATATGTGGTTACAATTAATTGTTGACTTTGATTTGAATTAAAATCTAAATTTTAATCTGTTTCAAACATGGGTTATATATTTAATGAAAAAATAAATTAAAGAATATTAAAAATTCTCCTATCTAAAGTGTGTACTGGACCACACTAAATTAAATGTTTGGGGGAAGAATTCGAGTGGTAAGTTTGGTTTGGAAGAAAGAGACATTCGTGTATCTAAAATTA